GCCAGCCCCACCGCCCAGTGCCCAGCAGCTGCGGGAGGGAGAAGGAGGTGGGGGTGCGGCTGTCAGAGCTGCGCACAGGCTGCTGTGAGCGTGCATCGGTGCAACTCAGAGAAGGTCCCGCAGGAGAGCGAGCGGAGGCTGGCGCTGAGAGCCGAAAAGGACCGGATGCCGCGTCGCCCGCTCCAGCCCTCGTCTACAGACCGGTGCCTGCCCGTCCCCACGTCTCCACTGCAGGCCCCATCACCCCTCTCCCACCCCAACCTGATCCCCTGCGAAAAGCCCTTTCCTCCCTCCCGCCTCGCTCAGCACGCTCCTGCTCCGGCCTGCAAGCCCACAGGTGCAGAAGCTCCTAGCTCAGGGCTGGGCGGACTGAGAGGCCCCCGGCCCTTCCTTATGGAGCCTGAGTGGCCTCCAGCCATAAGGCAGGCCACAGCGGGCCTTCGGGCGGGAGAGGACACAAGAGACCGGCGCCAGGCTAGCTCAGAATCACCCCCACTTCTTAGATGAGGACAGCGGGTCCATGGGGCACCCTTACCTGCCGCAGATAGGCAAGGCAAGGAAGAGGGAAACCCGCCAGGCAGACGGCTCTGAGCCCCAGCTGTCCCTCAGCCCTGCACAGCCCTGCCTGTGGACGCCCAGGTCAGTGTCCACCAGGCCACAGCTGGGAAGTGGTGGCAAGAGGCTGACCCCTCCCGCCAGGGGCAAAGGAAGGGGTCGGGACAACAGTGGGTCTGTTTCTGGCGGGAACGTGGCCGAGCCAGACGTTCAGCTCGGATAGAGCCGGACTTGAGGTGAGCCTGGCAGGGTCTCATCTGGGCTGGGGGCAGACACAGGGCTGCAAGTCAGGGCTGAAAGGCAGCTGCACCTCATTTGTGCAACCTGAGACTCAGTTTACCCACCCATGAGACTGGGGGCTGTCTCAACCCGCCTTTCAGTGGATCCGGCAGGCTGGCAAAATAGCTACAGATTCGGACACGGGGCTTGGAGTTGCTGGAAATGGGCGTCCTGGTGTAGAGAGGCTCCTGAGCAGCCCCGCTGCCCAGCCCACCCCGACAACCGAGCAGGGTGAGAAAGGGGCATTGATTCCACCTCGTCCCCTCCTCCCCCAGCTCCCACAGGGGTGGACAGGCGTCCAGGCAGGCCCTGGGAACCGCAGCCAAGGCCAGAGGATTATGTGGCCAGATAAGCCCCAAGAAGGCCTCCCACCAGAGCAGGCCTATTTATCAGGCCTTGAAAGAGCCAACAGAGGAAAATGCCACAGCAGGGTTGGGCAAACACCCCACCCATGCCTCGGCCCCCACAGCCTTGTGCAGCCCCCTGGTCCCTCGAGGTCCAGCCCTCGACATGGGAAACGCTCAGCCCCCGGACCAGCCCAGCCGAAGCTTCCACTGTCAGCCACATGAAGGCCAGCGAGGCAGCGAGCAAGAGGAGGGAGGGAGCGCGCCCTCAGGGAGGCCAGCGGCAGGGGACTGAGACCACACCAGGAGCCCTCACTGCCCAAAGGGTACGAGCAGCGAGACCCCCAAGCCGGAGCACAAGCCCCCGGGCTGCTGAAAGAGGGCTTCCTACTGGCCAGCGGAGAAGAAAACAGGCTGCTCCCCGGGGAGTGCACGCTGGGGGATGTTCACCGTCAAGGTGCTTACTCCAGCTTCCCTTCTGCAGAGGATTCCGACGGGTGGCCCATGAGATGCTTCTCAGCAGGGACCCTGAACTCCACACCTCTGGAAAGTGCTGTGTAGAGTAATTCTACTCCTGGTCCCAGCCCGACACACAGCACCAAGAGCCGGGTGGCAGGTCCGCCCGTACCACCCTCCTAGCCTGTGTTCACCTGGCTCTTTGAACTGCGTGGCAACGTTCAAGTGACCCCTCCCATTCCACTTTGAGAAACCTGCTCCACATGCTCCATTCATCCAAACCTGTTAGGGGTCGAAGAGAGGGACTCCAGGCTGGGTGTGATGGCCCATATCTGTAATCCCAGGACTCAGGAGGCTGAGGCAGGAGGATTGCTGTGAGTCCAAGTCCAGCTTGAAATACATAGTGAGACCCTGTCTCCGAGAAAACTAAATAGATAAATGAAAGAAGACTCTAAGGCCTGTCTCCACAAAGATGGAGAGCAAACGGCCCCCTCCCAGATGTCTAAACTGCCTCTGAGCCTTCTAGGTTTAGTAATGCGTCCCTGCATCACAGCTATCCAGAACCCATACCACCAAGCAGGAATCACACTTAGCAGTTATTGATAGGGTCCAGAGACCCAGAATCACACAACTGGAGCCACCCTTAAAGGTGGGTATCTCGTGTTCCTGCAGCAGCCTCGCAAGGGAAGCACACTTGGGGGCACACAGCTTTCTCCTCTGCAGGGCATCAGTGCTCACTGAGCTTCTGAGCCCAACCACTGGCAAGCCTGCCGGGAGCATCAGTCCCTGGGCCGGAGAAACGGAGGCACAGGGAGGGATGGGGCTCTGCTCAAGGCCACAGCAAGTCAGCAATTAGCTGCAGCCTCCAGAGTCCAGGGCAAGTGGTCCTACAATGAAAGGCAACCTCCCCAAAGAGGACTGATGCTCCGGTAAAACAGCACTATGGGAACAAAATACTCAACACCCAAAGTTAGAGGAGGAAAGATCTGCTGCAGCTCACGGCTTGTGGAGGTTTCGGTCCATAGTCAGCTGGCTGCAAGGCACGGTGGCCTGGCACAGGGGCGTTGCAGAGGAGAAACAGTCCACGGCAGGGTATGCAGCAGGCAGAGATCCCTCGAGGGAGGAGGGATGTGTGCATCTCCAGGCCATGCTCCCAGTGGCGCAGCTCCTCTCACCCAGGCTTCACCTCCCAACATCACACCCAGCTATAAACCCGTCAGGGGACTGATCCAGTATCACACACCCATAATCCAGTTACCTCCAAGGGCCCCACTTATAAGCACACGAGGCTCTGAGGGGTAGATATGAGCCATAACACAGGGTTCAGCATCAAAGAGGCCAGCAGAAAATAGGAAGATAGTAGGGAGTGGTTGGGGCCTCTGCCTCTCTGAGGGATGAGTTCTCACCTGACCACTGTGGACACAACTCTCTGTGAATTTTTTCAAGAGGACAAACACTGGATTTTCACGAGTCTTTCCAGTTTTTACTACACAATAGGCAACCTGTATGGCTACCTGTTTCCAGCCCCTGGGCTCCCAGCTGGGACAAATGCTGTGCTCAGAGGTGTCAGAGACAGGTAGGCTTTGCTGTCCCCCAGGGACCCTGTGCGGACAGCCCCTCACTACTGAGCTCCTGTGTTTACCTGTGCAGGCTCCACACACCTAACCGGTGCTGCGAGACTCAGAAGGACAGTGCCTGTCTGCTCCTCCCTGCACGTCCCTGGCCTGCAGCATAGCGTCACAAACTTGGGGTTCACTTCTTGCAGGCTGCGCTGGCTCCGGCCCACTTTGACTGGAGATGGTATGCCCAGGCACGACCCTCAAGGTTGCCAGGCTCCCTCTCAGCACCGGCTCTGGCATGGCTGAAGGGGCCACCAGCTAGAGAAGAGTCCAGGCCAGCTGGGACGTCTTCCCGCAGCCCCAAGGGAAGAGAGGACGGAGCTTCCCAGCTGGGAGGAGCAGTCTCGCCGGCTGGCGGCACCTCTGGCGCCTCCCTGTCAGCGAGCCGGGCGGGTTCTTCAGGCCACAAGATGCCAAGAGCCCCTTATCTCCCCTCTGACAGAGGCTGAGCCAGGCCAGGGGTCTCCGAGGCTCTGCGGGAGGAGACGGGAGGTGCTTCTCTCCCTTACTTGATCTATCTGCAGAAACGTTCCAGCTGCGGTGGTGGTGGCTGCTCGGGAAATTCCTCGCACATGAGGAATGGGCTTGGCGGACTCCAATCTCAGGCAGCACTCGGAGGCAGGCGCAGCCTGGGACGGCCACGGTCTCAGCTGGAGCGAGGCGGCTGTCATGGGGGGTGGGGGATCCACAAAACAGCCAGCCTTGGAGGGGATACGGCCAGGGGGAGACAGCCCGGCCAGTCCAGGTGCCCGCCAGGGAGACGGTGCCGGACCCACGGACCGGGCCTCCTGGTGGCCGGGATGGTGGAGGCAGCAAGACCATCTTCCCGTGCGACAGTCCAGGACCGGGGACTTGGTGCGGCAGTGGCAGCACATCCCAGCTATTCCCCGACCCTGGTCCAGGTGAGCGTTCTCTCATTTCCTCCCAACAGGCCTGCTTCAGTCAGGAACAGAACTCCAGGCCCGCACTGACAGACGAACGCAGGCCGCGGGGCAGAGCAGGCTGGCTCCAGACCAAGGCACGTCCCCCATGCCCCAGGTCCCGAGCAAACCTGCAGGCTACCTGCTGGCCCCTGTTGGGACAAAGCGAGCCCAGGCTCCAGCCCCAAGATGTCCCATCTTTTTTCAGGAACACGGTCAAGGTGCAGAGCCCACAAAATGGCTCACCTGTGTCACAGAAGCTGGGGGACAGGACTGGGCCTTGACCCCAGGAAGCCCCGGACCCACATGCCTCACAGGCACTCCAAGGTCATGGCCAACTTCATGCCCAAAACTGCTTTCCAGTGGCTCCCAGACAAGACTGCAGGCAGGCAGTTCTCCTGGGCCTGCCCTGGGCCCCAACTGCTCTCCTCAGCCTCAGAAGTACCCCTGGAACACGAAACCTACCATGCCCCTGCCCTGCCACCCAGACCCCAGGCCTGCAGGTGTGGGTTCAGGTGCCAGTAAGCACCCCCCAACCCTGCTCCCTGGGGATGCCTGACCTGTGCTCCACTCAGCAGGGTCCCTGGAAGCCCCAAGAGCCTGGCTGGACACTGAGTCAAAGATAGAGCAGGTCTAGGAGGGCTACCTGGAGGTCAGTATCCCAGGTGGCCCTCCTGGCTGGTCACCTAGAAGTGTCTGGCACCTGTGGGCCACCCACCTACCTCTGTGGGCGTGGCCAAGCCTGAGGTACAACCACCCAAACTGGAGCCTAGGAACAGCCACCGACCAGCTGCTTCCAGCCAGTACAGGCTGCCTCTCAGCTGTTCCTCAGAACCCCTGGCTCCATTCCCTGGAGGCACACAGGGACAGTCACCTTCCTGGTTGCTGTGTGGCTTGCATGCCCATGGATGGGCACATGAGTGTATCCATGTACACTTGTGCACCTATGTTTTGGGGTGCGTGTGGGTGTGAGTGTACATGAGTCTGTGTGAATGCACGCATGTCAGTACATGTATATGTGTGTGTGCTCACGTGAGTACACATGAAAGCATTCGCACAAGCTCAGCCCTTTGCAGCCTCACTCCTGAGCCCCAGGACTGTGGAGAGAACCACCCAGATATCTTCAGAGCTGCCCTGTGCCTCTGAAATGCTGGGGGCCAGGGGAAGCCCAGTGGGGTTGAGGGAGGTAAGTTTCCCTCACTGACAGGTGGCAGAGTGGGTCTGTTGCAAATCCTGGACAGTGGGACTAAGCCTGACTCGAAGGTTCATTCGTGCTCCCCTCCAGCACATTTTATAGCATTCAGAGCACTCTTAACCAGATTCTACAGAGACGCCAGTTTCCTTTGCATGCACCTATCCACGTGCCAATTATTCGCCATGGAGAACGTGGAAAATGCGAAGTTAGAAGGTGAGAAGAAAAGGGGTGCACCGTGCCTTCCTTAACCCCTCAGTCCCCCTTTCCTATCCAGATGACTCAGGGTTCTGGAACCCTTTCTTCCACTCCGATTCTCGCCTCAGATCCTGCCCCACCAGCAGGAGTGTGGCTGATGCTTCTGACACCCCCGGAGCCTGTCACTGCGCAGAGCACCGCGAATGTGACGAACCGAACGCCTGCTCTGGCACAAACCAAGTCCCCGCTGGTCCCCCTCACAGGCCCTGGGGGAAGCTGCCCACGTGCAAAGGAGGCTTGAGGACCCCCCAGGACCGCAGGCCCAGCAGGCCCACTCGAGGGGGTGCCGGAGCCCCTCATTAAGAGACTTCAACAGGAAGAGGGTGGAGGAAGCAGCACGGAGGTCAGGAGGCTGCGGCTCCCTGGGGCTCTTCTACAGTGAGACTAGGAGCGGGGAGAAGAAATGAAGGAGAAAGCAGGCTGGAAGTAGGGTGGGAGAGGAGGAGAGGGCAGAGGGAAGACGAACAGAAAGAAAGGCAACTTTGAAAGGCAGTGAAGTGGAGAAAAAAGCTGGGCATGGTGCTGCACACCTGTAATCCCAGCGCTTGGGAGGCTGGGCAGGAGGACTGCCCAAGTTTGAGGCCAGCCCGGTCTGTAAGACCCCATCTGGAATAAATATACTGAACGAATGAACAAATGAACGACATGCCGCACGTGACAGGCATTAGGCAAAGCCCTTCCGCACTTCTGGGGTGCCCCTGCTCTTCGCCTGAGGCACCTCCAGTCTCCAGGTCCATCCAGATCGAAACCTGTCCTGAGATCCTGAGGCTGGGTGGTTGAGGTGGTTGGTGGTCTTGATCCTTTCCTCTTGATCCTTCTTGATCATGAGCAGTTTGGCCCCACTGTCACACACACTGTGCTGGTCAGACCAACCTGTCCAGTCCTTCCCAGCTCAGCCCAGCCCAGACCAGAAGAGCCTGGACCAGTTCTCAGCAGTCCCACCCAATTCAGCCCAGTATGCACAGCACAGCACATACCCCAGCAGCCAGCCCCAACCCCAACCCCAGCCCCTGGGACAGAAAGTGAGCATCTTGGACAACAGGGCCCTCTGCATCCCCAGGGGACTACTGGGAGACTAGGCAGGCCCTGTGGCCCTATGGCTGGGCACACTGACAACCCCAGAGCGGATCCTTCAGGGTGGGGCAGTGATATTCTGGAAAATGCATCCGATTGACAGGTGCATGCCCAGTGGTGGGTTCCTCCTTGTTGACCCCTGGGAAGACTCAAGCCCACCTTTTGGGAGGTGCATCCCCTTCACAGACCCCAAGCACTCCGGGGCCTCTATGGGCTCTCCTTTATTTGGGAACAGCCTGAGACGCAATCTAATGCCTCCCCCTCTGTAGCCTTGGTGAGGCCAGGTGGTCCCCCACCCTGAGCTTGAAGGAGGGAGCTTTGCACAGAACCTGTGGTTCTCTGTGCGCAGAGCTCAGGGTAAAAGCACCCCGCCCCACTGCCTGGAGAAACCCTATCTACAGCCCTTGTGCAGCTACGAGGGGGACATCCAAAGCAAGGGTGACCACTAACCTCCTGGCCAGCTGGTAAACGTCCTCCTGAAGCCATCTCCTGCCTTGTTCCTGCAGGACTCACCAGAAGTCCACTCGCTGAGGTCAGGCCCAGCCCTACTCAGCCGAGGGCTGCACGGGGATAGGACACACTGTCCTCTGCCTATGCCCCAGCTCCCCTGGCCTTCAGCGGGCACAGTAAACAGCTGTTAGGGGAAGGGGACTGAATGGATAGCACTTGTGCTGGGACAGAGATTAACACAGGTTTACAGATTTCTCGAGACCCCGACCTGCCAGGGCTTTGTCCTCCTGTGACACATCACTGCAGCCGGAGTCTCCAAGCCTTCCACTTTGTTCTTCCACCTTCCATCCTGCAGCCACATGGAGGGAGTTGCAGGTTGGGCCCAAACCCAGTGCACAACCCTTCCCAGGATGCAGCATGCAGAGGCTTCCTGCAAAACAGAGGGAGGAAGTAAGCAGTGACCCTGCGTCCTGAGCTACTCCGGAGCAGAAGAGTGCCCTGAGGAGGGTGCCACTGGCCCCCTGCAGAGGGAACAGCCTCTCACCTGGGGACCCACAGGGAACCACTTCCAGCCAAGTACCCAGATTTCACAGGGTGACATATGCTTTTCATTCCTAATCTTCCTGGCACAGTCAGAACCTACAGCCGCAGAAGACCCAGGAATCCCCCATTTATTCAAGTGCTGCCCAGTGGCTCATCAGATGGCGCATGGCTGGCATCGGCCTGGTTCATTACCCTGCCCCGACTGTCACCAGGCGTAAGCATGAGGTCACTAAGTGAAATAACCGCCAGTTGACAGATCTGAGTGCAGCAGGCCTGTCTGGCCTCACTCACACTCAGGGCTCACGTCTCCTTCCTACTCATGGGCCAGGCCCTGGCCACTCTATCTCCTGCCCCATGCTGTCCACCTCCAGCTCTCTCCCTGGCAGGCACTCCTCATAGCCAGTCTATCCTGTGGTGTCCTCACAGGATTGTGCTAAGTGTAGGGAAAGGGAAAGAGGACCCTGCAATGGGTCCTGGTTTTCTATGAGCCATGACAGCACAAGGCAAAGTAAAGGCTTAAGACAGAAAATGAGACTTAGGGAAGAAGCAGGGTTCTGGGCCTGATCAGGGCTTCTCTGGGCAGCAAAGATGAGGGTACCTCAAGCTCACCACTATTTATTGGGTTCACAGGGAGTAATAGGTGACTCTGAGGGCAAAGGTGGCACTAAATTAACAAGGATCTTATCACTGGAGGAAGAATCAGATCACTCGGGGGTGAGCAATAATCTTATGACCATGAGGATCTCATGCTGATGAGGATCTTATTGATCAGGACAGTAAGATGAGCAAAGATGTTGGTGGGATGAGTTAAACTGATAAGGAATTTGTCCCTCCCCAGGTGAAACCTTTCTACTCTGTTCTCAAAGACCCAGGAGGTCTTCAGCTGATGTAATCTTGCCCTTGAGTGTCACAGCATCACAGGACCACTGAGGTCTCAGCTGTGACCAGAGTTATGTTCCAACAAGTCCTAGCCGGTCTGCAGGCAGGAAGACCGGGCCTAATCGCAACTTAATTGTGAAATGATTTTTCCCCAAAATTATGTTAAAGTGCTTGCGACCGCTAAGGCTGCCTCCCCAGGATGGGGGAGATAAACCCACTGGGAACTAGATTACATCCTCCCCAGACCAAAACTCCTCCCACCACAAACTGGCCCTGAGGTCGTGTGGTGGTCTGGCCGCGATCGCCTGCCATGCTGAAGGCTAAGCAGCGTCACAAAGGGGCTTTGAAAGCAGATTCAGTTACATACATGACACGGTGGCCCACGAACTCTGTTTTCATTTCCCGCTCCCCTTTTCTCAGCAGCCAACTCGGGCCTCGCCGGGTCATCCACAGTGCAGCCTGTTTACAAGGCTGTGCTTCCCTGTGTGCAGGAGCCCTCGGCCTTCGCTTCACCCTGGCAATGAGGCTGGCAGAGGGCCAGCCTTGGAGCTCCTGCCCAGCCCCAGCCTCTCTGAGCTCTTGAGTCTAAGGGCTTCGGGCTCCTGGGACAGAAAGGAGCCCAGTCTTAGACCCCAGCACTGGCAGCATCCATGGAACAGCTGTGCAGCCGGCTGATGAGGCTGGGGAGCAGAGCAGGGGATGAGGGGAACCATGGCTGTTGGACTTTTCGTGGCCTCAGTTTGCTCATCTATGAAGTGGGTGTCAGAACTGCCTGCCCCACACAAAAGGCAGTGAGCTTTCAAGTTGAAGCACAGCACGTTCCTGAGCCTCTTCAGGCAAGTGGGCACTGAGGAAATGCCCAGGTAAGGGCTGTGATGGTGCAGAAGGGGCCCAGGCAGAGAAGGAACATGACTGCCTGGGTCCTGCTGCCTTGCCCCAGCCCTGGCAGTCAGATGGCACTGGCCAGGGGGCAGTGTCCCCAGTGAATCTTTGTACACGGGCTCGCCCCCATCAGAACCACCCTGCAAGCACCCACCTCCTGGGCCTGACACCCTGCTCTGTGGACCTTGGGGTGTCAAGGTCATGAGGATGCTCTTAGCTCAACGAGGACAACAGGTGAACCAGGTGACACCACCCTTGAAGGGGACTCTGGGAGGAGGTGCAGGCCAGGACAAGGTGGGGCAGGCTGTGAATTGGCTTTTCATTACCCTGGGGGCCAGCGGCACTGGGCCTGCCTGAAAAGGCCTTGGGAGCACAAGCCCCCAACACCGGAGAACTGGCCCAGGTCCTCTGCCGCCCAGCCTCTCTCACGGCTCTGGGAGCTCCCCTTGCAGGGGTGAAGGGGACAGAAGGGTCAGCCCAGCCCGCTTCCTGGAGGTAACCTGACCAGCCAGTTCTTAGGGGCTGCTGTCTACACACAGCGTTCCTCGCCCAGGACGGTCACAGGGCAGCCTCTGCCTGTGCCCAGTGTTCCAGATGTGCCCAGCAGGCACAGAATATCTGTGCACTGGCAGCATGTGGCCGGCAGGGACCCCATCTGGGGAACCACTCCCCAGCTCCCTGCCCCAGCCATCCCCCCACAGGGAGGGAAAGTCCCTGGAGAAGCACGCAGCCCTGTGTGGTCAAGAGGGGCTGTGTCCCAGGCAAACTAGAAGCAGCCACGTCCCTCTTGGGAGTCAGTCTGGGGACCCTGTCACCCCCCTTCTCCCTAACAAAGGAACTGATTTCTTTTAGCCCATAAATGTGTCTGAGCAAAAGGTTCCCAAGCTCTGGGGTCAGAGGGGACAGTTGCTGGGAAAGTAACAGCTTGAAATAAAACCCAGAGCCTGACAGGTGGGCAGGATCCGCCCCGCCAGGTCCTCCGCCCTGACCACCAGGCCCTGGCAATCATAATGCCCAAGCCCCTTGGCCCATCACAAAGTAGATTAACTCCCCACCCTTCTTGGCTCTCTGGGGCTCACACATATATGCTCTTCTCGCCTG